ATTCCAGACTCAATGTCATCTCTGAACAATTTTTGGAATCGATTTGCCCCTTCATGGCATCACCCTGGTTTCAGCATTGGCCATTATATCATTCCATTCAACAGCTGAAGCCTACTCGTCATACCGACCTACTTCGTGATCTCAAAAGCCCCATGCCTGATGCCATTTTCTGTAGCTGTCTTGTGTAAGTAACTACTCGAGTGAATGTTAACTTACGTCACATGGACTTCGTACATTATATTACCTTTCAGATGACCAAATAGGATAACGGGATACATACTTACTTCAAGGTTGAGTTTTGTCGTTAGCTCGACCAATCTGTCTTCTTTCTCGATATCCTCGGCAAAACGAGCAACTCCGGCCCACGGGTACATGTCTCGAACCGGATGAATTGCTTCGTAGCGAGGCACACCGACTGACTAGTTGTCGACATGCTCCCATGCCAAAATTACACGAACATATCTGGGGTCCGGACCCCGGACCCCTGTGGGGTAGGGCTGGCCGTATCTGTGATATCCCAGCGGTTCGTTGCCGAAGATATTTGCTGGGCACTAAGTGCTGTGGCAATGCTACATGCCTGCATTACTGCTTATTTCATTGCATATCTAGGGCGGAAAAACCCACCACTGCATGTCAAAATGGAAGCAATGTCACCAATGGCCCGTAGACTCGGCCCCGGGGTTCTCTTCTGACCCTTGGCTGCATTAGCAAATTCATCGTGGGCAGTCATGTCGGACTCGCACATAACTTTACGGGTGTCCGCGTCTCACTGCACTTTCCTTTCTCCTCTCTCTACTGTTAAGCCAGGCAGGATTCTCGCTCAATTACTTGTCAAGTTCCTTGATCGCATCGATCGCCAATTTTCAATATGCGCCTTTTGGATCTGGGCCTTCTTGCCCTGCAAGCCAGCGCGCTCAGTTTGGCTAGTCCCGTTTCCCGCTCAGCAGAGTCCGACATAGATCTTGTAACTACCGAGAGGCTCCAACAGCTTGCCAGCTTAGCCCAGACTGCCTTTGACAAGACAAAGTCAGAGGTCGAGGGCAGTGAAACAAAAAAGCGCAGCAGCGCATGCTCTTGGCATGATGTTCGTGTCCGGAGAGAGTGGTATGTTTTTGCCTGCCATCGTCAAAGAATTGTCCCTGTAGTTCGCTATGCTTACATTGCGATTTCTTAGGGGCACGCTGGGCAAATCTGAGAAGCTTGACTACATCAATGCTGTCAAGTGTCTTCAGTCCAGGCCGGCCCGCACACCCGCTTCACAGTCTTCTGGGGCTAAGACTAGGTTCGATGACTTTGTCGCAACTCACATCAACCAATCTCTCACCATACACTATACTGTCTGTTTTATGAGATGACAAAATGTTGATAAGATAACTGACCGTAGCAGGGTAACTTCCTATCATGGCATCGATATTTCACATGGCAGTATGAGGAGGCTCTGCGCAACGAGTGTGGCTACAAGGGCACTCAACCTGTGAGTATCTCAACTCATGGTTACGTCAGTATTCTTACTAACCTAATACAATAGTACTGGGACTGGTCCAAGACCGCGATCACAGGCTTGGAGACCTCTCCAATCTTCGACGGGAGCGAGACCTCCATGTCTGGAAATGGTGATTTCGTCCCAGGACGAGAGCCCATCCGTCTCGGTGGCCAGAATGGTCTTCCGATCATCGAACTTCCAGTCGGTACAGGCGGAGGCTGCGTAAAGTCTGGGCCCTTCAAGAATATGACAGTCAACCTTGGCCCCGCTGCCCTTGACCTGCCCGGAGGTATCTCCGAGGCTAATCCTAACGGGCCCTTGACATATAACCCCCGCTGTTTAAAGCGCGATTTGACAACTGAGGTTAACCTCTTGTTCGCCAATGTGACTGCTGTGCTGTCCAACGTTCTTCAGCCTCAGAATGTGTACGACTTCCAGATGCAGATGCAGGGTGTGCCAGGCTCTGGTAACATTGGTAAGCTTGATAAACTTCGATAGAAATTCAATGCAGGCAGGAAAAATACTGACGAGACTTTCTCGATAGGCATCCACGGTGGTGGTCATTACTCCCTTGGAGGAGATCCCGGAAGAGGTCAGACACACGAAATTCCAGCAGGCTGAGCGGTGCTAACTTCTGACTGTAAGGAGTAGACGTTTTCACTTCCCCAGGAGATCCTGTTTTCTACCTCCACCATTCGATGATTGATCGAGTATGGTGGATGTGGCAGATGCTTTCACCGGAGGAGCGTCAATATGGCGCCACTGCTCTCAGCGGAACCAACACATTCCTGGACCAACCTCCCAGTGCCAATACAACTATGGATGATGTGCTCCAGTATGGCTGGGTTGGGGAGTCTCTCAAGATTCGGGACGCCCTGAGCACCGTTGCAGGTCCGTTCTGCTATGTGTACCTATGAATGGAAGTTCCACAACAGGGAGGATTACTTCACATATTTGTGTACGGATAAAGGCAACCGTGGCTTCGATATTAGTTTGGTTTCGCTTCTCCTACGTATCGTATATCTCAAAGGATGACGTTAAGATGAATCGCCGATCGTCATGGAGGCAGTACCTCACCACCAACTCGCAAAGCCGCGCCGGCCTGTCTCCGGTGCGGAGTCGAGCAGATCTTCCGAAGGCCGCAATCCGAAGAGGACCCCTACTCCGGGGTCACTCCGGGGAATCGACCCGTAGTCCAGCCGATTGACCTTACTTGATCACTCAAATTAGCCCTGCGCTGCTAGCCGATGTCTTTCTAAACATGCATGGCGTTCCAGACGATGACGCGAATATGCTCAATGCGGATAGTGTCGCCGCGGTTAGCACGGCACAGCTTGCATCAGGATTGAGGCGCCAAACCTAGCGCCATGTACACGTGGAAGCTCCCTCGGGGGGATACGTCTTGGCAAATGCTTGATTCACCCGACTGAGAACTCGGTATACAGAACGCATGAATGTCTCTGAGAGCACGTCTTACCGTGTTTGAGGCGCCAGAATTCTCTCTTTCCAGGACGATGGTCACTTTCTCCCAAAGATGGTGTATCGCTAGGCGCATCCACCTCGAAACTCAGACACATTAGGACAAATTTGGACTAGCAAACGTCAAAGTACTTAAAAGAAGCGTTTGCCAAACCAGAGATTCCAGAGATATCTAAGCATCTCGCCATACTCTAATAGGCCAAATAAGTCAAGTCGGTTCTTGGATCTCACAGCATCATGCGCGTCCTTATTAGCGGAGCAGGCATCGCCGGTCCAACGCTGGCTTGGTTTCTGGCCAGAACCGGTGCGCGTGTCACAGTTGTTGAGAAGTGCAAGTCGATTCCTACATACGGCCATAACGTCGACGTCAACCACAGCGCTATCACTGTCTTGAAGAAGATGGGCCTCATTGATCAACTTCGGCGCTTCAACACAACAGAAAAAGGAACACAATTCATCGATCCGAAGGGGCGGCCCTTTGCTCCTTTTCCTGTCAAGCAAGGCTCTTCCGCAAGCCCTACCTCAGAATTTGAGATCTTACGAGGGGATTTGGCTGCAGTGTTGTACGAAGCCACGAAGACCCATCCAAACATCGAGTACCTCTTCGGCACTACCGCCAGCAAAGTCATATCCAACAACGACACCAATGTCAAAGTCGAGCTAAGCAACGGAGAAGTACAAGAGTACGACTTGTTGGTCGCAGCAGATGGCCAGTGGTCAAAGGTGCGAAAGCAAGTCTTTCCCCAGGAAAGCATCACCGTCATCGACAAGAACATGTACGTCGCCTACGCCGCTATTCCCCGCCTCCCCGAGGACAACGACTGGTGGAATATCTACCAGGCCCTGGGATCGAGGATCATCACCACTAGGCCCGACCCGCACGGCACCATACGGGCCATGTTCACGCACATGCCCTGCGACGGCACGCAGAAGACGGCATGGCAGGAGGCCGCACGAGGCGACAAGAAGCTCCAAATGGAGCTCGTGAGGCGGGAGTTCCTAGACGCCGGCTGGCAAACGCCCCGGATCATGGACGCCATGGCGCAGGCGGAAGATTACTACTTCCAGGACCTGAAGCAGATCAAGATGAAGAAGTGGTCCAGCTCCCGTGTCATCTGCCTGGGAGATGCGGCCTTTGCACCGACGCCCCTCTCGGGCATGGGAACTACACTGGCCATCATCGGAGGTTACATGCTTGCTGGCGAGCTCACCAAACTCACACCCGGAGAGCATCCTTCCAGGGCATTCGAAGCTTACGAGGCTGCGTTTCGCCCCTACGTCGAGGAGACTCAGAGCGTTCCGTGGTTCTTCCCAGGAGTCGCGCATCCGGTCACGGCATGGCAGAGATGGTTGCTAGGAACGGTTGTGTCGACGATGTCTAGAGTTGTTGCGATGCCTTGGGTGGCTAAGAGATTCTTTGATGATACGAATAATGACGATTCGGAGTTTCCACTGCCGGCATATCCTCTTCTAGACGATGAAAAGCTAAAATGAGACAGGTTGGCGACGGTATCCAAGAGGCGGGGCGTGGTGCACTTGGTACTAGATGAACAATTTGGGGAGGAAACATGGTCATGGCTAGTCTAGGGCAAAGGCAAATCCGTTTCGCTAAGCATGTTGAAGAGTCAATTCATAGGTTTATTCATAATTTTACTTCCAAATTCATTTGAAAGTTGACCTTTGTTGACAATTTTTCAGAGAAAACATTCATAGACTTGTTAAAAATTCTATGGAGTATAACTAAGAGAAAGGGAGAAAGTGAAGGTACTATGCCGACCTCACTTTACCTTATGGTGGGCAGGAGCGTTAGCTATGAGCAAGAGAATGCAAGACTACCTGCTCAAGAAATCAGTCATATTAGTTGCTTGCGAGGTTGAATCGGTGAACCACCTGTCGACCCCTTTAAGCCTTGTTTATAGAGGATCTCCCGGCGAGGCAAAAGACCGAGTCCGTATCGCATGACCTCGTTGGTATAAGATATTGCCTCTTCGGGTAATAGAATATATGAAGCAAGTTCTTAGCAAGAGGCTCATTTATTTTACAACGGCCACTTTCCGCTCTTCCTCAAATCCCCCCTCGACTTGCTCCACGTCGAGGGATCAATCTTGTAAATCCACCCGATGTTCTTCTCACCATAACTGACAGGACCCTTCGTCTCCAACCCACCCAAACCCATAGATCTCATGACCGCTCTCCAGGGCTCATTCTCAAGCTCAGTCTCGACGCGTACAACACTACAGCCGAGCCCCTCGACAGCAAACTCAACTTGGCCACACAACACCTCTCTGCCGTAGCCCTTTCCCCAGTAACGCTGATCGAGGACCACCCCAAAGTCGGTAAGATACGGCGTGATAAGGCGGTGAGCCTCCCCAGTAACACCATCTTCCGCAGCATCCTCACCTCCTTCTTGCCCATCTTCATCCCGCTTCCTCCTCAGCGCAACATCACACGTTTCCCCCTCTGCAGTCTCAAAACAGTTGAACCCGCCACACCCAATCAACTCGCCCGTCTCCCGAATCGTAATCATCAAGATAGCCTTCTTCCCAGACGCGTAATCCGGTCCCCACCTCTCGATGCGGCCGCGTATGATCTCGGGAGAGATGTCCGTCTGCGCACCTCCAAAAGGGTGGTTCTCGGGCGTCGAGAGGAGGCGGCAAAGAGCCTCTGCATCGTCCGCGACGGCGCTGCGGATGATGAGCCGTGGGGTTGTAATTTTGTAAGCGGCTTGAGGGAATGGGGCAGTCATTGTCGCTGGGGTTTTGCGTGGCTTGGTGCTTTTCTTGGAAAATGAAGGTATGAAAAGTTGAGGAGGCACGTTGGGGAACGTCTTAGGCGATGCAGATAATTGCTGGCCGTTTGCTAGATGGCAGCACGCTCTGCAGGTCAAATGGAAACCTCTTGTCCGTGACTGTCTTGATCAAGCGAGTTGACCTGCACTTCAGATTCACACGCGAAGAGCAAGAGGGAAGATCTGAAGGTGATTTTGATGCCCGGAAATGACTAGGATGACTATCTCACACCTTATTTCGAAGAGAGGAGGGGAATCCTCTGGTCTACGTAAGTACCTTTGCTTGCCCTATCAACGTTGATCGGTCTGTCAGACGTTCAATTCGGACCTTTTGTTCGCTTATCCTTTATCCCTGTCCTGGCTTTGGCCTCAATCAGCAGTGATGCGTGAGATGAGCCGTGAGTGAGACCAGGGACAAGGAGTTGGATTGACCTTCTTAGTGAATGCATGAGTGGTCTCCAGAGTTGATGAGTAGGATTGTCCACCAATAAGTCAAAACTCATACTATCTGTAAGTAAAATGTGGCTGACTCGGGACAAAGACATCGAACAGTGATTACGGGCAAAGAAGCTGAAGAATTACGGTGTTCGAGAAGTAGATAATCGACAAATTTCTACCATTTTATCAACTTTACACGGCTCAATATAAATTTCCGCTAACTAACAACTAAGATATCATCTCGTCTTCCGTCTTTAATGGTGAACGGTCCATCGACGTAGAAATGAGAAACAGCTTCCAAGAAAGGCCTGCTCACACAACATGAAGCTCAAACCAAGGGGGAGGAAGTATCCTGCGGGGCGGCTCGCTGCCACCCTCAGTCCACCCCACCCCCTCCACCTTGCGTAACAATTAGGCAGCGCGGCGGCGAAGGTTCCTCCTGGCCCAGCGCGTGCGGAGCACAGCATCTGGTGTCTCGTCACGCTTATTGTTGTTGCCGTTCTGCTGGTTCTGGCGGTTACCGTTGCCCTTTCCAACAGTTGCCAGAGGCAGTGCGTTGTTGTTTCCGTTGGCATTGGCATTGGCATTACCATTGTTGCCGCCGTTCTGGGCGTTGGTGTTGGCACCGCCGTTGTTGTTCTTGCCCCGGGTCCGTCCGTTGCCTCCGTTGTTGCCCGTGTTGGCATTGGTGTTTCCGGTATTAGCATTGGTGTTGCCGGCGTTGGCATTGTTGTTGCCGGCGTTGGCATTGTTGTTGCCAGCGTTGGCGTTGTTGTTGCCGCCGGCCGCAGCACCGCCGTTGTTGGCGTTGTTGTTGCCATTGCGGTTGCCCTTGCCCTTCTGTCTTCCATTACCATTGCCGGCGTTGGCATTGCCGTTGTTGTTGTTGTTGTTGTTGTTTCCGTTGTTGTTATTGTTGTTGCCAGTGTTGGCGCCGGAGCCGGCAGGGCCGGCAGCCTGCTGAGTGGCATTGTTGCCGAGGAGTTCCTTGATGGCAGTAACACCCTGATCGTCCTGAGTCTTGGCTTCCTGGTTCGACTTGACGGCGGCAGGGAGGTCGACAATGTTCTGCTGGACCTGCTTCAGGACACCGTCAAGGGTCTGGGCGGTGGGAATGTTGGCAGGGGTGTTCTGCTTAGGCTTCGTGTCCGTCTGCTGAACAGCGAAGCAGCCGCCAAAGGGACCCTTCGCGTTATCGTTGAAGCAGCGGACGGTGCAGACATCACCGGTGGAGGCTATCAGCAAGTTTGTTAGTCATCGGCAAACTTGAAGCGCGGCGGAGATTCCTATGGCGACGACCATAGAGGAATATGGAGTTGACGTACCTCCTACGCAAGCCAAGTCATCCGGCATCGTGACCTTGAGCTTGATCTGTCCGCTCTGTGCCCCTGCCTCTTGCACCTGAAGCTTCGTCTGACCCGTGGCACCGTTGGCGTTGCTAGTCAAGTCAAGATCGCAGCTGTACGGTCCGGCGCCGTCCGGGCTGACTTGGGCGATGGTGACGTCGACGTTAGATCCCTTTGTGACCTTCGTGACGGTGTTGTTGCCCAGCTGAGCCTCTGTGGTCTCGCCGATATCGATGTTGCCCGCGAGGATGGTTCGGCCGCACTCGTTGACGACATTGTCCACAATCTCCTTCTGGTTGATGATGTTTGCATCCGCCTTGTTTGCATCGACTGGAAGCATTTGTCAACGATTCGTCCTAGATTTTGCGCATCTCGTATCATAAAAGTGCATACCTAGAAGACCTGGACTAGCAGGGCCGTTGGGGCCTTGCGCGGCAAGAATGACACCTTGGGCCTGGGCCATCGCCAACATGGCGGCGGCGGCCAACGCTCTCATCATGGGAGAAGACATGGCTTTGAGAGGAGACGGGTGGACCGAAAAGAGCAGGTATACACAAGTCAAAATTGGATTAGTAGCGAAAGGAAGTTAAAAAACAATGTGTCCAGCACCGCGTTGATGGAAGGGAAAGAAACGAAAGAGGTTTGGTTATGGCCTCTCTCAAGAAAGGAACAGACCGGCTGGGAGTGTGAAAAGGAAGAGAAGGGAAGAAAAAACCAAGAAGAGATCGAACTCAAGGAAAGTGTGAGCGAGCGATCCAAACGGGAAGAGCACAGGGAATCCTGCGTTTTACCCGATGTGCGAGGCCTATTAAGTTTTATACATGCCTGCTTCCTATTTCCTCTTTTTGGTCTTACCCCCTTTGGCGATGACAAGAGGAGTTACTTCAAGGGTAGAGCTTGTTTCGACAAGGGGTCACAGACGTTGAGGATGGGAGGATGGGCGATGGGGCTTGTTGGAAAAGATGAGAGCATGTTTGTGTAAGCGCTGCTCAGCTGGTGTTGAGCCGATGGGCAAGAGTGAGAGCCAGGTGGGAGAGAAGAAGCAACAGGACCGGGGGTAGGAGGGAGTGGAAGAGCCCCCCAGAATGGACCACATGGGCATGAGAGCAACAGACTTTCAGGAACCGTGAACGTTGTGCCTGTGCCTTGTGCCTAAACTATCCAGTCTTTCTGCAGACTGCGGCTCTTCCTGCCCGTGTTTCCTCAAAGGTTCTGGGCAGGCTGGGTAAGGCAGGCGAGGGACCCCGGGCTAGCACAGATCCCCTCCGCGGCTCCGACGATCTTCTGGAACGGATGCCGTCGCGTGGGTGGAGATGTCAGGTGGGGACGGGGGCGTTACGCGGGTTATAGACTCATGGAGACCTCTGTGGAGTTGGAAGGGGGTTAATGGAGACTCTTGGAGGCTGCTGAGGCTGCGCTGAAGTCTCGAGGTCGCCCATTCGAAGACAAGGACCAAGACCGAGTCTTCTCCGTGGGGGCATGGCTGTGTCGCCCAATGTCTGCGTCCTTGCTAGCCACGCCTAGTGACTGGTCAAGGGGCGGATAGGGCAACGAGAGCGACAGGGGGGGCGACCATCCCGTCATGTCGGCCGGGGATGCATCGATTATGGGCAGATGTTGAGCTGGGAGTCCAGACGAAGACGGGGCTGCAACCGCGTTTCAGGCTTTTAAAGATGGGCCATGATGGGTTATAACGCTGCGCCCACGAGAGAGTGGATGAGAAGGAGAGGGATCATTACCAGTCGCAATGGAGAAAAGTTGAAGCACAGTCTGGATCCGTCCTTTTCCATCGTTTCCCCCCCTTTCTTCTCTCCATCATGGCGGTCCAGAAGGTGTCGCGGCGGCGAACCTCCGATGGCAGCTTTTCGTTCCCGCCCGAAGGAAAGAAAAGTTCAGACGGGCCCGCACTCTGAGACGAATTCGTAACGCACGGGAGTCCAATGACAGGTTTTCTTGCGGCGACGCTTCAGGCTTGAGCGTTCGAGATGTTGACTGAGGGGGTATTTAGACTTGATGATGCTCCACGATATTCTTGTCTTCGGGAACAAATTTGTTCGGCTGCCGGACCACTTCTCCCTTCTCTTGTCGTTGCAACCTTGGTGGGAGTCGAGAAGCTAGCTGATGTTGGGCGCCCTGTAGATCCGGGATTGGCGTCGGGAAGTCTCCCCCGACACTACTCTGCACAAGCTTTGTCAGCCCCGGAGACCAGGCCGAAGAGGACGATCCTCAAGGGATTTCCTGTAGTTTCCGGGCTTCGAGACGTGCTTCGGAATTAAGGTACAGCAACAGAGTTGAATTAGGGGCAAGCAATAAATTGAAGCGGGAGCTGCCATATTGAGGTGGGGAGAGTTAATCGGCCTAGTGTCACTCTTGTTGGAGCATGTCAGAGAGGTCCGTTCCAACTTCCAGGGCATTTTGTGCTTCGCAAGCAGTAACTTACTAAGCGTTACCAAGTTACAAGCGCAGCGAACTCGCATATCATAGCCGCTTCAGGGTTGCCTGGGCAAAAGGGAAACGCTAGGTCCAGCACCACTACCACCCACAACCGTCGTCATCGCACGACTTTGAAACAAGCACCCGGCCACTGTTTGACCCATCCAACGATTAAGGAAGGGAATGTCCCGCTGTCTTGCCAATTGATGACTGACTTGGTGGGGAGACAGAGTTCAACGGCTCTGACTGGGGTAGAGGTTTAAATACCACGGGCCGGCACACTCAAAGACCCAAAACCTACACAGCGTTCCTTTCGTTGGACTGCCAAAAAGTCTCGCTTTCTTCCCCTTGAAAATGAGAGGGTTTCCACACCCAACTATCTTATGTGGACTGCGCCATGAAAGACTCTGGGGATGCTTTCTGTGTGAGATATGAGGACTTTCGTCTAACTTGTGACTCCATAATTCCTGTCGCTCCTGCATACTGGCGTCTCCTTGCTATTAGTGCAGCACGTGGTCGATGCGGGCTGTTATTAAGTGCACTCCTCGAGATCCCTCCTACCTTACTTCAGTCCTCTCATCTCCTTCGGGCCAACGGCTCATTTCTCTTGGCATACGTGAACTGCTCAAAATTCAGAGGACTTCGCAATGAAGCTGACTGTAGACTTTATCAAGCTTATTGAGAGATGAACATGCCCCTTACTGATGAGACTGTTGAACCTCACTACGTCTGGTGCCACTGCTTCAAACTGTCATACTGTGTAGAAATGGTGGCAGCATCCTGCGCATCAAACAATGGTAAGGAGGAAATGCGTTTTACAAGCTTCGCATGCCTAATGTGGGATTCGCTCTGAGCAAAAAAAGTCGAGAGTCAATGCAGTCACGCTTCCAGCTTGCAGGTGTCGCCGAGGTCCCGTACATGGATGATCGTGGCCCGAATTATCCACGGACCAGAAACAACTTTGGTGCTCGCCATTTTCAACCAGAGAAAGAAGGAGTTATGTACGAATTGCCCGATGAGATGAAGTTTATTCCCCTTTTGGCACATGCCATTGTCCACTCAAGTTGCCAGAGACACGATTAGCCACACGAGGATAGGCTTGAGCTACGTTGACTATTTCTGAGGTAGGAACCCCTATACTCGTCGATAAACCGAGTAAAGGTGTCGGGGCAGAGACCTACGTCAAATACTTATTCCTGACAAACATGAGTTCTTTCAATTATTTAATCATAAACAAGCGTCGTGGAAGGAGACCCTTCAGGTAGTCGAACTTCTTCAGCTTTATTTATTTAATGACAGTTATAATCTTATCGGCGAAAGGGAGTAGAGCGTTCTCTGAGAGTAAAACATTCTGCGAGCCCAGCCCCGTCGAATTTGTAGTAATTTGTATTTGACAGCAGAGAGCAGCAATGCGTGACGTACTAAGTAAGTAACAGGTGAGTTGATTATCTCAACTCGGTCTCAACTTGCGATACGAGAAGCAGCAAGCACCTAGAATTGCTCAGTGGTCGCCGCGATACATTGTTGTATTAGTTTGGGCTTTTTACGCCATGCTTGATAATTCTCCGACGGTAATATCAAAACCAGATCACTAGAGGTATGCCATTCTAGCACCTGCTGGCTAGTTGCAAGGTAAGGAAGGAATCTTTCAGTCGCTAGCCTAGTGAAGACATAAGTTTCCATCATGCGTTGTGGCCGAAGGATACTAATTTACTGGGCTTTCATACATGAAGTCAACTTGATGGCAAGCCGGCATTTGTCCAGGGGTGCACATTATTCTGTTCGGCTCAAGCACGTTCACCGGCCAAGGAGATTCTTTTCCAATTTTGCCCACCAATCTTGCCAGTCCACAATCTTCCTTCCAAGTCGGGCTTCTTCCGCAGCAAAGACCATAGCATGGCTCATGAATGCTTCCTTCAACGTACAGCCAACATGTCTCGCTTGCGCCTGCTCCACGCTGAGCTCACCATTAATGACAGCCTCCACAGCCCGAGAGAAGTTGTTCATCAGACCGCCATCGCCACCTTCATGACCGCCAGAAGCTGTTGGCGGGATGAAGACTTTGGCTGCCCCCGGGTCCCGAAATCGATCAAAGGTATTGACTCGAATCTCGTTACTGTCTTACTGCATCTCTCCATGGGTGCCCGAGATCTTGCCTCGCCGCTTGGACTGGGCTTCTGTGAACGCCGCCATATGGAAAATCGCCGTCTTCGGACCGCGGTCGGGGAATTCCTCGTTGCCCACAGCGCCTGAGTCGTCATCCCAGGTCAGAGTGACAATCTGATCGTCAAGAACATCATTATCTGACTCCCAGACACAACGACCATACCACTGTTTAGACTCGATGATGTCCCTTGGTGTAGAGGCGTCGTAGTCTATAGAGAGAACCTCTTCCAAGACGGCACGTCCATGATCTGTCCCCAATGTAGCAGTGATATCTTCTATGTCGGGAACAACAACACAAATAGGCCAATCTCGTTCTCCCTTGTCATAGAGCTTTTCGAGGTACAGTTTCTTGGCACTCCAATCACAGCTCTGTTCGTGAGGACAAGAGAAGCAGTTCGTGGCGTTTCCCGCTGCCTTGGGCTTTCGACGCTGGGTAAAGAGTGATAGGTTGCCAACTGAGGAAATCAAGCTGGGCATATGGGCCGGTTGACCAGAATCCGTTCTGTAGCTGAGCAGCCACAGTAGAAAGTCGATATCATGGCAAGCCTTGCAAAGGAGTGTTGGCGCCGCAACTGACTCCTTTCGCCAGTTGCCTCGCACGTACGAATGTGAAAAATGGAACCAGCCAACTGGCTCTGTATGCTCCACAGATATAACCTCCCCGATCACCCTGTCTTCTAAGAGAAGTTTCCTCAAAAGCATGTTGTGAGGGCTGTATCGTAGAACATGACCGGTTGAAAAAATTGCTTCCGGTGTTGCACCGCCGAGGCTGACGTATATATCCTGGCAGTCCTGTAGAGATGTTGCAATCGGCTTCTCGCTCAAGACGTGAAGTTTGAGTGGTCCAAAGGCTTGCAGGATCTCTTTGTGTGTTTGGTCCTGAGTGCAGACAATGATACCATGAATACCCGCATAGACTTTCTCTCCAGAAGCTTCGGCTTGCCGTCGCTTACTCTCATAGTCGAGAAAGTCCTGCCACGAGTCGAAACTCTGGTCCTCTCGTGGTGCCCCGTCATCCCAAACATATTTCTTGCCAAACGAAATCCGTGTCGATTGTACAGGTTTTGCAACCGCCGCAATGATGGCTGGCAGCCTCTCTCGTCGTACTGCAGAAGCGTAGGCGGTTCCGCGCCGGCCGGCTCCAATGATGAGAAATCGAGGCTTGCGATGGACGACTGAGCTCAATGCTCTTCGCGCCGAAGCCGTCGATCTCTGCGACTCAGTGTCGTCTACCCCTTTCATGTCGAATTATTCATAGTTTGCAAGTGATTGGTGATGACACTTCAACCCCGAGTATTGTTAGGCAGTGGGAGTTTCAATATATGAAGCCTTCTGCTGTGCCCCGATAACTGATGCAGCCTGCCGACTGATCAGGCCATGGGACCCAACAGATGACATGCTGCTTAAAGCATATCGGTGCCCGCTCTGTGTAATCGGCTAAAGTACCCGGCTTTACTGCGCAGTAATATTGAGATTTCGCACGTTCGTAATGTCAGGCCGCGGCTCCATCCTCAGCCTCGTAGAGTACATCAAACTCACTTATCGTCTGGTTCGTTTTTTGTCTGAGGGGACTGCCAGTTCCATGTTGTTTCACTCAATCAAGCAGGTCTTTGTTCTTTGATTTTTCTTTTGCCAGAAGCGACCTTCAAATATATCTGGATTTGATAAGGTGGCCTGCAATGGCTTCATATGTCTACACCGAACTCCAAGCTACAATAGGTGACTTGAGGCTGGTCATCTTGCAGCCAGGCAGCTACCGTGACGAGTTGCGCTGCAACATTCTTCATTATCCACTTCTCGAGCCAAAGGAACCTTTCAAGGACGAAAGGCTGCCCGTGAGCGAATTGCAGAAAACTCTTCCAGATGGCTGGACGGTGGATCAAACTTTGGACGGGCGATACCTGTTTATGAGCCCACGCCACTCGGGAATCCCTAATTCTTGGAAACACCCAGATTCCGAACATGATTCGAAAGCATATGCCATGCCAGAGCATTCTGTGAGCGACATCTTTGCGTGGCACGTACCTCCATATGAGGCCTTATCCTATTCCTGGGGAACTGCCAATGACGAAGAATTCATTCACATTACCGACCCAGCCAGTACTCACAACACGCCAGCCTGGTTAAGGATCCGCAAAAATCTAGCTACTGCCCTGAGACATCTTAGATACGCGGATCAACCGCGCACATTGTGGATCGATGCCATCTGTATCAACCAAGCCAACGTTGAAGAGCGTGGGCGACAAGTCAAGCGGATGAGCCAGATTTACCCACTTTCCGAAAAGGTGATAATCTGGTTGGGCTCCGAGTTTGAGGATAGCAAACATGCGCTGGAGACCTTGGAGTATTTCAGTAAACAGGTGGGATATGTGATTTCTCATCGGTGGGGAGACGCCCCCAACGCCGAGCAGCTTGATTGGTGGCGAGACGACGTTCCTCTGCCCTGGAAGGACAGGACTTGGAAATCCATATCTTCGCTACTCCATCGACCATGGTTCGAGCGTGTCTGGGTTCTGCAGGAAGCTCTTTTGTGCGACCGTGTGGTGCTTCAATGCGGCCGAGACGCTATCGCCTGGGTCGATGTACGCAAGGCATTACTGGTGCTCCGACAGAAGTCAAGTCTGCTGCCAGATGATATTAGGCGTCGTCTCTTCCCATATGCACGAGGCTTGATGGCACCGCCGCTCGCTTCATGTGAGCACCTGTTACTCTGGACGCGGAATCAGCAATGCTCAGACCCTCGAGACAAGGTGTACGGAATTCTGGGCTTAATGGATCCCAGAATCGTAGCCAAGATCGAGGTGGACTATTCTTTCCCTCCTTGGAAGACATTTGCACAGCTCGTTTTAGCTGAACATGACGTCTACCAGAAATTGAACATGATCAATAATTGCGGCATAGCGACGCGTCCCGAGGGGTGCCCATCGTGGGTACCAAACCTGGAGCAACCAGTAGAAGGTGCCAACATAGGGTACTTGAGCATCCGAAGATTTTATGCTTCTGCACGCTCCAGTGCTGTGGTGAAGCTCATCGAGCCGGCTGACCATCTACAAGTCACCGGGAGACGCGTGGCCATCATCAGTCGTGTTAGCGATGACTTGAACGGCACATTCGTACAACTCATGGAAGTGGTCCGAGATTGGGCACCGAAAGATCCACAAAACGACAAGTACGTCTCGGGAGGACTTTCTATGGATGCATATGTCGAAGTCCTTGTGCGCGGTAGGACCAGCGACAGAGCTCTGGGGGATAATCCGCTTCCATCCATCCGGCGGCTTCGCGAGCTGTTGACATCGGCATTATCCAAAGACAAACTTGATGGTGAGGTAGCGCGGGCATTCAAAGATTGCTTCTTCGCGAACGAATGTCTCTTTGGTACCACGGAAGGGTACATGGGTGTCTCTGCGAGAGGCCTGCAAGTAGGCGAGTCCCCTCCATCTCAAGACTTACCTCTAAGGTAGTCAATCACTTTCGATCGTGTGAGGTTAACCTCTAGAACTAGGCGATCAAGTTGCTGTGATTCTTGGATGCGACTTCCCAATGATTCTACGGCCTGGAGATCCCGGCCGATACGAGGTCGTTGGGCCGTGTTTCGTTCATGGGCTAATGCTCGGCGAGGCCTTGAAGCCACCTTTAAAGCCGCCGTGGAAAGATGCGCTTCCCGTCACCAAAGGTTGGGCGATGCCGTATTTCATCAACACCGAGACGCGTGAGCTTATGAAGACTGATGTGAGGCTCGGTTCGTTGCCTCTTGACTGGGAAGAGATGGCGTCAATCGATCCCTTTTTGCCGCCCTTCGTGTTCAAGAACAAGAATGATGGGCGCATCAGTTTTAATGATCCAAGGATGTCGGTAGACGCTATACAGAAAAGGGGTATCGAACTAGAAACTCTAGTGTTGACATGATCCGAGGCAATGTCCTTGGATTTCCCTGGGTCACATCTAGAAACGTTGAAGTTAAGTATCAGTAGTAGTAATAATAGTCTATGAACTCCACGTCTTGAGACCTTCTTGTCATATGGCTTATTGACTCACCCAGCCTTACGACATGTCATCAAGCACAATATACCCAAAGCACTTGCGGAGAAAACACCATGTCACAGCATCACCCAATCTCTTACATGATTCGCATCTACCCAAACGCTGGCTACATACACCGACCCATCCCACCTCACAACTTCGCCTTCCCCCCGCTCTCAGCCTTACTCCTCCCAACAAGCTCCCAAGCAAACTCCGCCAACGGGCCCCTCGTAACAGCAAACCTCTTCGCCTGCTCACTACTAGCCTGCCCCTGCGCCGCCCTTGCCGCAATGCCCTGACACACGCCCGCCAGCCGGAACAGGCTAAACGCCGCGCCCCACGACAGCTCCGCGGCGGGCGTCCACCCGCCGCCCACGGGCGAACCGGCGGGGGCCTGCGCCGCCTCGGCCGTGTACCACCCGACGATCTCCTCGATCGTCGGCAGACCCGGGGTAGCGCCGGGGAGGAAGCCGTCGTTGGCGTAGAGACCGCTTCCCGCGCGCGAGGCGGTGAAGTAAGGGTGGAGGAAGTTGCAGAGGTCGGAGAGGGGGTGGCCTACGGTGGACATCTCCCAGCTAGATTGTTGTCAGCCTTGAGACAAGTTCATAACTTGACTGGTGAAGAAGAGAACGAGAAAGAAGAATGGGGGGCAGGGAAGACATACTCCAGAATACCAATGACCCTCGGCTCCGTCTTGTGAAAAACGAGATTATCAATCTTGTAATCCCCATGAATCAACGTGCCCCGGTCCTTGGGCTGCCGACTCTTGTCGCTAAAAAACGCAACCATCTCCCCAAAATGCGGCAAATCCCCAACCTTTTCCCCCGTCTCCAGATCCACCGCCGCCGCCTGGCTCTTGCAAATCGTAGTCCACGTCTGAATCTGCCGATCGTAGAACCCGCTCTTCTTGCCAAACGTCTGCAGGCCGACGTCCTCGGGCGCGACCCGGTGTAGCTTCGCCAGCGTCAGCGTCGCCGCCTTCCACAGCGCCTTGCGCTCCTCGGGTGAGGCGACCTCGGGCATGGCCGCGTCCTCGAGGATGCGCCCGTCGAGAAACTCCATGATGTAAAACGCGGTGCCGACGACCGACTCGTCCTCGCAGAGGCAGTAGGCCTTGGGGACCGGTACGTCAGTGGGCTCGAGGGCGTGGATTATGCGGTGCTCCCGCTCGACCTTGTGCGCGGCCTTGGAGAGAAGCTTTCCGGGGGGCTTCTTGCGCATCACGAAGCGCTTGTTCGTCGCGTCGGTGAGTTGGTATGTCGGGTTCGACTGGCCAAAGCCAAACTGTAATGTGTGGGAAAAGGCCAATGTCAATCGAGGAAAGGAACGTTCCTTCCAACCACGGGCAAAGAAAAGAACAAGGCATTGAAGAGGCAATGCTGGTACGGAAGGCGGGCCGTAGACGTACCTGTTTAATTTCCAGTGGCGTCTTGATCTGCGGCACATTCTTCTCGATATATCGTTCCAGCGCCTGCTGGTCGATTGGGTGTCGCACGCGTCCTGCCATCTTGTGCTGTGCCGTCCTTGGAGTGCGGAAAGACTGGGTTCTGAGCTCAAGGGTCGTGTCCGCTGCTGAATTCCAGTCGAGTATCACGGATTGTAGTCGCAATTGGCTTAAATAGTACAGGTTCTCACTTCGTAGGCATACTTGTCGGATTAAACCGGCTGCCGATGAAGATATGTAGTCAGTCGAGGTCGTTGCAGGTCCGCCGATGCCGTCAAAGTTCTCGGTCGTAGAGAGGTGAATTTCGGGGTACAATATTAAGGTACCACCCACCTAGGCTGGCCGGCGCATCTCTGGTTCGGACCTTTGCCAGCCTCGGTTCGTCCCCCAGTGACGTTTTAGCGGGCACGCGGGGGTGAGCCGGGGCCTGGAATGCTATCCAAAACTCCATACAAGGTGGGCGGCCGAGAGAGCAATCTGATTGACTCCCCCAAAGCTGCCCCCAACCAGCACAAAGATGCCGAGGTCCACCGGCCTAAGGAGCCTCAGAGCTGTCTTAGCTTTAGGACTCTCCAGTCTCCAGAGCGGGGGAGACGGACGCACTTGGGGAACCTGCACCCGACTCAGCCCAGGGTCTCCTTCACAGATGGTCCTTGGGATGCAGCAGAGTGCGGAGGTGGAGGCGGGCCTCGATAGCCGCACCCGACCGAGCCAGAGATCCAATCTGAACTATTGAAGCCAGCCATTCCGTTCCTTCATGCATGGCCCTGATCGAGGATACGTCGCCACGGCCCCTTCATCTGCTGGCCCAAAAGCCTCGTTCCTGTGCTGCATGATCCATCTTGTGGGTACTTTGGAAAGAAGCCCATCCTGGCTCCGAATCCCTCCTTCACATAGAGTGTTGGTGTAAATCGTGGATAACATCCTCCTGGTCACCCTCAATGGCACGCATTTGCGGTAAAAAGACTAAAAGGTATAAATTGCCCAAAAAGTAATAAAAAAAAGGTCGTTAAATCCGTGTTTCTCTCCATACATGCGAATCCGGCGACGGATTTTGCCAGGAAACCCAGTCTATCTCCATCAATCCAGCAAGTAAGAAGTGGTGAGGCAGATAAATATAAGCGTAGATATCATCTTCAATCATTCTCTTGTTCCCGTACATCAAACTCGCGGCACACCACTGGCTGGCGGCTTTTCGTTTTGGGTTTTTCTTTTCTCTTCGTTTCAACTCCCTGCTGAATCACGAAATATAAAATAAAAAAAAGGAAGCCGTTGGTAGCCAGACCATCTGCCCAATTCCCACACTACCGACCATTCCCCAAGAAGAAGAATCCCTCGTCCAGGAAAAGAATTGTAACACGAAGTGAAGTCAAATCAAAAACAACAAGGAGAAGGGGGTAATCGAGTAAACACAAGAGGGGTATCCGTCGTTTCGAGTCGTCCATGCATTCTTCCCTCCCATTTCCCTTGCGGCCACCCGTCTAAACGGGCGCCATGCTGTTGCCAGTCGATAATGTGTATTAGCCGTGAAAGCGAAAAAAAAGAGGCGCGATAAAAAAAAAAAAAGCCAATGACGACCGATATGGCATCGGCTAGACCTGGCAGCCAGAGAGCAACGAGAGTCCTGTGTACCGGCCCGCATGCTGCGTATAAAGACATCTGGAAAACTCCAGCCCCTATAGACACATCCCGTACAAGCTCCCTCCTCTCCTTTGTAACCCCAATTCGAAAGAGTGGAGATGGCTACAAGTCGTCTCTGCAGACGGTCGTGACTTCGTGATCGAAATGCGCGACAAAACATGAACGAATAGTATGGCTGCGAATCAAGACTCGTCATCCTCCTCCTCGTCCTCTTCAGGAGTCTCGGATGCTTTCTTGGCCTTCTTGTTCGAGCTGGAATCGTCGGCTTCCGATTTCCTCTTGGAGCCGGCTTTGGACTCGACAACGTCCTCGGGACCCTCGCCAGAGCCACCACCCTTCTCGCGCTCGATGGCGGCAACCTCCTCAGCAGTGAGGAAACGGCCTCCAGGTCCGCGAGGCCGGCGCATAGCATGGTTGTGCCTTGACTCGTGAAGGTATGGCTTGCGGCCCTTGGACGTCAGACGCAGCTGCTCCTCCAACTTTTGGCGTGCGACACGACGCTTGAGGATGCGATGGAACTGCTTAGCATTGACGTAGAGGGGCGATTCCTCGACACCACCGGCGGGCATCTCGGGTGATTGCGGGTGAGGCATAGCTTGAGCCTGAGCCATTTGCGGCGGCGCAACACCAGGTCGCGCGCCGACGTGATTCATCATACCCTGCGCCGTAGGTACTCCGGGGCTGGTGACTTGACTGAGGCGTCTCTGGCCCGGTAGCTGCGAAACGTTGTTCATCTGGGTGGGTGATCTAGGATCGCGACTCTCCTTCTTCGCTCCGCCCATTCGCGGCGAGGTTTGGGGCAAACTGGGGTCCGACTGCATGTAAGGGTAGTTGGATCCCGACGCAGCTGCAGTTGCCGCCATGGCGGCGGCTTGGATTTGAGGCATGCCATAATGCATTCCCTGCTGGGGGACGTTGTACTGTGGCTGGTACATGTTGTGTCCCTGTTGTTGAGAGGGTGATTGCTGTTGAGACAGGATAGGTGACGTCTGTACGCCGTGAGGAGAGGTGATGTTGTTTCCTGTGGTGGAGTTGGTGTATCCGGAGTGGGCGTTTTGAGGTTGTTGAGGATATTGTGCGTATTCCATCATACTGGGGTCAAGCTTGTTCGAGGGATAATCAAGCTATGCAATGAAGGCTATTGTCTTCGTCGCGTAGGGTATCGGAACCAATAAGAAGCCAGCTAAGTGGTGTAGCTTGACAGCGGCTTTGGCGCGGTTGAGAAAAACGTGACCGTGGGAAGGGGAAAAAAAGGGTATCACGGCTATGGGTCGCGAGTGACGAATGAGTTGCGACGAAAGCTGCCTTTCTCGTGAGGAGTGAGCTTTAAAATGACTGGGACGGCCCGTCTGCTTGGGTTGAGTTGGGCACACGGATTGGGAGCCGGCGGTGTCCTAGGGTCCTTTTTCCAGTGTATTGGGAGCGGAGGGGCTCAATCTATTGGTGATGCGTGGATGAGCTGGCAGTGGTGCGCGACGCAAGTGGCCGACCACGGCATATGCGGGCTGATGTAGTCGCGGGGCGGACGAGGTGGGTGGCTGAGCCTGGGGTCAGAACGACAGCCACGTGAGAGCGGCGAGAGTGTGTGGGTTCGACAGAGGCGGGCAGGTATGTCGAGGCTGCTACCGTACAAGGCGGAGGCGAGGCGGCGTCGGTTCTGTTGCTTCTAGCCGATCAAGGGCTCCTTGGTCCTGGGCTGGTCTACCAGCTGCACAGCGGGAGCGGGTAGGGCAAGAGTCGGCTTGTCCTTGTTCTTTTGGACGAAACAGGTCGGTCGGTGCCTTGAGTTCTCCAGAAATTAGAGACCGTTTAATCCTTTTCCACTTCGCGTCGTTAGATCTGTCCAACCAAGAATGTTAGTTTTCCTGTGTATAAGCCAGAGCTCGGGATGATGCGACAAAGACAAGCAGATGGGGTGGGGTTCATGTTTCTCTCCTGGCGTCTCGGGCCACCACTTGATGCGCTGGCAGACCTCGCATGCATGACGGAATATGCAGAGACAAGGCCCACCATGCCAACCTACGCCGCGACACTTCCCCTTGATGCGGTTATGGTGGCGGCGCAGAGCCAAAAGACAGTCCGAGCTGCGTTGACAGAGCCCGTGCTTGCACCGGTGGAGGGGAAGGGGTGCCTGTACAGGGCGCTGTCGTGTATCGCTGCCACAAGTCAAGCTAAGCTCACTGAGCGCTTCGCAACAACGTCCATTCCACTGGGAGTGCACCTCGATGTGGTGGTAGTGGCAGGCATGAGAAACCTTTCCAATGCGCTGCTGGTGCTGCTGCTGCGTCGATATGCCGCCGAAGGGGTGCTTCGAGAAGTCGTAGAAGACTTGATGCGAAGCACAACAGTCGAGACAGCGGAACGTCAGAGGATGAGGTAGTGAAGACCCTTCCCCCTAAGGGTGACGCGAAGGCCCGCAGATGACAGGAAAGAGACAAATTGACGTGTACATAGTGAAGGGGAGGGGGAGCACCGAGGGATGGGTGGTTACACCTCCGGAGAGCACGGGAAGAGTACGAGTGCTGGAGATGCTGGAGATGCTGAGGAAAATGTGATAATGAAGAACGTACAATAAACGTACCACGAAAGTTGGAGATCTGGGTGTAATCGCCGATGAAAGCGATGTGCCGCGAAGGAGGTGTGAATGTTATGCGCCCTACTCAAGTCAGTAAGCATGTGTTGTCCGTCCCGGTTTCAAAGAACAATAGGTGCACACAAATCGTGTGTGTGAGGAATTGGGAGAAAAGAAAAGACAACAGCCAGAAGAGTATCCGTACTGGTTCTGTTCCAAGAATTCGTCAAGTTTTCTCCCTCTTCCACTTGGCAATGCCAGATAGATAGGTAGCCCGAGATATGAAGCGCCGAATTTGACAGAGGAGCCAAACTCGGATAGCGTACAAAATAGAAATGACCAGGCGGGATAGGGAAGGAAGATGGCGGCCGTCGTCAGGGACAAGGAAGCGCGCGTACGAGGCTGGACAGGAGGGGCGCCAAAGGACTTGAGTCGAGTGGCATGCGAAACGTACCTGGTTGGCTGAATTTTTGGCTTTGGGGGTGAAATTCTCGGGGATTGGCTCCTGGTCTAAGTCGAGACGAAGCTTTCTGATAGGCTTTTGACTCGAGTGTCACGATATGAGCTTGAATTCGCCTCCGAAGAAGCTATGACGCGTTGCGCGATAGAATGTTTGGCGGGAGGGCGAAAGTGCGACGCGGTTGGGCTGAGTGGCCTTTTGCTGTGGTCGCGGTGCGGTGCGCTGATGCGATGCGATGCGTGCGGTCCGGAGCGCTGCGGTCAAACAGGCAGAGACGGGAAAAGATGCTCTTTTCCGCAGGTTGCTTCAGTCACCTGATGAGCGAGCAGTTGATATTGCTACTGGTGTTGGGCCAATAGACAAGATGCTTGGTCGCAGGATAGCGAGAAGATCAAAGTCGACGATGATAGGACCTCTCTGGGGGGATTCCAAGTCGCGAACAATTCACGACTGTTGGGTGAGTGGTGAGTGGTGAAATGTGAGTGGTGGTGTCAGGTTGGGGGAGACGTTTGGAGAGTTGAGGGAGGGACGTGAGTGGTCGCAAGAAAAAACCGAGCTGATTTGCTGGGTTTTGTGGGAGGGCGGGTTTTTTCTGGCTTTTGGCTCGTTGGATTCGCTGGAGCTTTTCCCTTTGGCGAACCGGGGCTCTTTGGCACTTTGTACGCCTGTTTCGGAGGGTCGAGAGGGTCGAGAGGGAAAAAAAAACCAAGCAAAAGGTGCGTGGATCCTGAAGACACGAGTGTGAGTGTGTGGCGTCGGCGGAAGATGGGTCACCTTTTTTTTCCCTCTTGCTGGGATCAGGTGGGCCTAAGGCTGCGAAGAGAAAGAGGGGGTGTATTTAACAGAAACTGCGGTAGGAAAGACGGAAGGAGGGGAAAGGAAAGGGCGAGGAAGGTGAGAAGGGCAAGGCAGCCAGGCAGAAGAGGGGTAGGGGGGGTGGGAAGTGGGAAGGGGGTATGGTTTGCTGACGTTGACGTCGCAGTGAGGGAAGGAAGGAGCAAAGCAGACTGGGAGAGGGTAAGGGCGGGAAGTGAGGAAGTGAAGTCTTGGGTAAAGCCGCACCGTGGTACTCCGAAGTGGTGGTGGTGGTGGTCCAACCTACCTTACAGCAATGGAAGGTACGCACACACGCCCCCTCCCGCGTTGAGGTGTAATTATTTTCTTTCCACTTTCTCAGGACGTTGTCGCCAGTGCGAATGCACCACGCCAGACAGGAAGTTGGGCTGGCAATAAAAGTGGCAGAGTCGGTAGGCAGGGCCGGGCAGGGCAATGTTGCGTCACTGCTTTTCTTCCTTTCTCGATCTGAGTCGTCGAAATCTGCGTTGTCTGTCTTATTCTTGGGTTGCCTTCCCACCACCGTTTTCTGGCGGTGTGTGTAAGTGACCGTGAGGTGTGTAGAAGGAGGCAGGAAAGAAAAGGTGCGCGCGGGCGTTGTGCTCGGTGATGCGTTGCGTTGCCGCTGACGGCTTGCCTGTTTGCCTGCCTGCCTGTCGCGCTATGTTTCCCCCTCACTGTCACTTGCAGACCTTTTCTGCTTTTCTTCACGTCTGCTCTTTGGCGATTCTTCGCGCGCGTCTCTTTGCCGCTTTGCTAAGATGTCGTCCGCACAACACGCCCTGGTTTCAAGATTGATAGAACGCCAAAATGCGGAGCGGATAGGCTTAGCTGATGATTGGCGACCGATTGATATGATGGTCGAGGGTCCAATGGAATGACACCAGCTTGGGCGACCCTGGTGTCTGTTTCCAAGTGCTGTTGAGGGACGAAAGCTGATTGAATGATTCGACTCGCTCGCTCTCTTGCTGTTTGCTCACCCGCTGTCTCGTTCTCCCGTCCTCTCTCTTTTTTTCTGCCTTCGCACCTTGTCACGTTTGGGTGGGTCGGGAAGAATTGATTGGTTGGGGCGGAGGAGGAGGTGAAAGACGAGGGAGAATTCTGGTCCATGATTTGAGGGGCGGGGACCATTAACCCTTTAACATCTCTTAC